CGAAGGAGACCCAAACCCTCCTTACAGGGTGGTCCTTAAGCCAGGGGCATGACAGAGGGCCGTAGCCAAGCGGGTGGACAAGGAGAGACCTCCATTCCCTCGGTAGAGGGGGGTTAGTACAACATGCCTTATATGTTTGCCACGGAATACTTCTTGTCAAATTAGTGGAATCTTTTCTCTCTTTTTCCACCCATGACATTCTGCCCATGTCACCGCCTCAGTGCTTTTCCCACCTAGCTGATCTGTCCAATCAGTGCATGTCATTTCCAGATTTTCCCGCCCAGTCAGCGTGTGCTGCTTCTGGGCTTTCCCACATAGTGCTGCCTGCTTTGTCTGTGTGAGCCACTGCTGGGGTTTCCCACCCAGCTCCTACTCCACATCTAGTGCGAGCCAGCTCTGGTGTTTTCCCGCCCATTGCCTTTTGCCCCATCATGCAACCTACTTTCAGGCTCTTCCCCGCAGTGCCAACAGCCCAGTCAGCCTGAGCTCTCAGTGTTTTTCCCCACCCAGTGCCTCCTGCCCAGTCAGCACGAGTCGCCTCTGGGCTTTCCCTCCCAGCACCTGCTGCCTAATCAGCGTGAACTGCCTCTGGGCTTTCCTGCCCAGTATCTTCTTCCCAGTCAGTGCAAAGCTGCCTCTGGCCTTTTCCACCCAGCTTCTCCTGCCCTGTCTGTGCAAACCACCCATGGGCTTCTCCCACCGAGCCCCTCCTGCCCAGTCAGCTTGACCCATCTTTGGGATTTTCCCCCAGTGCCTACAGCCCAGTCAGCATGAGCTGCCTCAGTGGTTTTCCCGCCCAATTGCTGCTGCCCAGTCAGCACAAGCCACCTCTGGGCTTTCCTACACAGCGTCTCCTGCCTTGTCAGCACGAGCCACATTAGTGGTTTTCCCACCCAGTACCTCTTGCCCATGTAGCCCACGCTGCCTCAGTGGTTTTCCCGCCTAGCTGCTTCTGTCCAATCAGCGCATGTGATTTCTGGATTTTTCTGCCCAGTGCTTCCTGCCCAGTCAGCGTGAGCTGCCTCTGGGCTTTCCCACCCAATGTCTCCTGCCTTGTCAGCGTGAGCCACTGCTGGGGTTTCCTGCCCAGCCCCTACTGCACATGTAGTGCAAGCCAGCCCAGGGGTTTTCCTGCCCTGTGCCTCCTGCCTTGTCAGCACAAGCCACTTCAGTGGTTTTCCCTCCCAGTACTTCTTGCCCAGTCAGCTCGACCCACCTTCGAGTTTTTCCCCCACTGCCTACAGCCCAGTCAGCCTGAGCTGCTTCAGAGATTTTCCCATCCAAAGCCTCCTGCCCCGTCAGCACGAGATGCCTCCAGGCTTTTCCCACCCAGCACCTCCTGCCCAATCAGCATGAGCCAGCTCTGGACTTTCCCGCTCAGCACCTTCTGCATAGCCAGTGCAGACCGCCTGAGGGCTTTTCCGCTCAGCGCCTTGTGCATAGCCAGGGCAGACCGCCTGAGGGCTTTCCCTCTCAGCGCCTTGTGCATAGCCAGGGCAGACCGCCTGAGGGCTTTCCCTCTCAGCGCCTTGTGCATAGCCAGGGCAGACCGCCTGAGGGCTTTCCCTCTCAGCGCCTTCTGCATAGCCAGGGCAGACCGCCTGAGGGCTTTCCCTCTCAGCGCCTTCTGCATAGCCAGGGCAGACCGCCTGAGGGCTTTCCCGCGCGCCTCCCCCCCTCAGCGTCTTCTGCATAGCCAGGGCAGACCGCCTGAGGGCTTTCCCGCTCAGTGCCTTCTGCATAGCCAGGGCAGACCGCCTGAGGGCTTTCCCTCTCAGCGCCTTCTGCATAGCCAGGGCAGACCGCCTGAGGGCTTTCCCGCCCAGTGCCTTCTGCATAGCCAGGGCAGACCGCCTGAGGGCTTTCCCTCTCAGCGCCTTCTGCATAGCCAGGGCAGACCGCCTGAGGGCTTTCCCTCTCAGCGCCTTCTGCATAGCCAGGGCAGACCGCCTGAGGGCTTTCCCGCCCAGTGCCTTATGCCCAGTCAGCCTGAGCTACCTCAGTGGTTTTCCCCACCCAGTGCCTCATGCCCAGTCAGCATGAGCCACTTCTGGGCTTTCCCGCCCAGAATCTATTGCCCAGTCGGTACAAGCCTCCTTCAGTGGTTACCCCAGCCTGTTGCTTCTTCCCAGTCAGCATGAGCCACTTCTGGGCTTTCCCACCCAGCGCCTCCTGCCCAGTCAGCATGAGCTGCCTCCAGGCTTCTCCCACCCAGCGCCTCCTGCCCAGTCAGAGTGAAGCGCTGCAGGGGCTTTTCTGCTCAGCACCTTTGCCCAGTCAGTGCAAACTGCCTACAGGCTTCTCCCACCCAGTGACTCTTGCCCAGTCAGCTCGACCCACCTCTGGGCTTTCCCACCCAGCACCTCTTGGCCAGCCCGCGCAAGGCTCCTGACGACTTTCTCGCCCAGCGCCTCTGCCCAGTCAGCTTGACCCACATCCGAGCTTTCCCGCCCAGACCTATTGCCCAGTCGGTACAAGCCTCCTCAGTGGTTACCCCGGCCTGTTGCTTCTGCCTAGTCAGCACGAGCCAGCTCTGGGCTTTTCCACCCAGTGATTCCTGCCCAGTCAGCATGAGCTGCCTCCAGGCTTCTCCCAGCCACTGCCTCCTGCTCAGTCAACTCAGTCAGCACAAGCCCCACAGTGGTTTTCCCGCCCAGCCCCTCCTCCCCAGTCAGCGTGAGCCACCTCAGTGGTTTTCCCGCCCAGCCCCTCCTCCCCAGTCAGCGTGAGCCACCTCAGTGGGTTTCCCGCCCAGCCCCTCCTCCCCAGTCAGCGTGAGCCACCTCAGTGGTTTTCCCGCCCAGCCCCTCCTCCCCAGTCAGCGTGAGCCACCTCAGTGGGTTTCCCGCCCAGCCCCTCCTCCCCAGTCAGCGTGAGCCACCTCAGTGGGTTTCCCGCCCAGCCCCTCCTCCCCAGTCAGTGTGAGCCACCTCAGTGGTTTTCCCGCCCAGCACCTCCTGCCCAGTCAGCACAAGCCACCTGTGGGCTTTCCTGTTCAGCACCTCTGCCCAGTCAGTGTGAACTGCCGCCAGGCTTCTCCTGCCCATGCCTCCTGCCCAGCCAATGCAGGGCGTCTGAGGGTTTTCCTGCCCAGCGCCTCCTGCCCAGTCAGGGCGAGCTGCCTTTGGGCTTTCCCACCCAGCCCCTCCTGGCCTGTCACTGTAAGCCATCACAGTGGTTTTCCCACCCAGCACCTCCTGCTCAGTCAACACGAGCCTCCTCTGAGTTTTCCTGCCCAACACCTCATGCCCAGTCAGCGCAAGCCACCTCTGGGCTTTCTCATTCAGTGCCTCTGTCCTGTCAGTGCGAATTGTTTCCAGGCTTCTCCTGCCCAGCGACTCCTGCCCTGTCAGCACAAGCTGCCTCTGGACTTTCCCACCCAGCCCCTCCTGCCCATCCTACCAGCCCTTCTGGAGGTGGCTCAGTGTGAACCACCTCCAGGCTTCTCCCATTCAGCACCTCCTGTCCAGTCAGTGCAAGCCATCTCTGGGTTTTCCCACCCAGCACCTGCTGCCCTTTCAGCATGAGCCGCATCTGGGCTCTCCCACCCAGGTCATATCTAAAATACAGATTCTCTTCGGAGCAGAGGCTGGGGTTCTCTAGGCTTTCTCCAACACTAGGGAGATAGGAAATAAACAGTAATAATCTTGAGTCACCCACGCTACTGGGGAGGAATGGGGGTCACCCCTGCAAGATGGGGGGAAAGCGTGAAGGAAATGAGGGTCACTTGCACCCCTAGTGCTCTCACAGGAGAGGGCACATAGGGGTCTCTGTCAATAATGAGAAGGGGTGTGGGGGCTCTCTCCCCAGTGCTGGGGGGCAGAGGCAAGGAATGTGGGGGGTGTCCCCATAAAAAAGGATGTGGGGAGTCTCCCTGCAGTGCTAAGGGGATATGGGGGGATGCAGAGGGTCTCTCTGGGGTCTCGAAGCTGTGGTCCCCTGGGGCTTAGGCAGGACTCCAGTGGTGGCTGCAGGGTTACCGAGTTCCAGAAGGCTTTGGAAAGGCCATGTCACACTCAGAGGAGCCGGTGAAGACCAACTGTCTGGCCGGTGCAAGGGAGGCTGCAGAGCCCCAGGGGCTCCCCTGTGCTATCTCCATAGAGCCCAAGAACCGCTGCCCCCCAAACAGTCGGTGTTTGCGCGCTCAGCCCAGCTCCCCATGAGAACCCACTTTGCAGCCAGGCCAGCCCTGCCCAGTCCTCCGTGTGCTGCAGGGATAAAGCAGAGACAGATTGGGTTGCTGCCTCTGACCCACAGCTGCAGGAAGCTCTGAATGTTAATCCAGCACTGGTAAAGAGCATCACAGATTTGCCCATCTCCCCTAGAGCAGTACTTGACCCAGAACCCTGTTCTAGGGCGTGCTGCCCTCGGTTTTGTAGGCAGTTGGTGATATTATTGCACCCCTTAGCATATCTGGCATGGACAGTATCCATCAGAGGGCACTGCTGATCTGGACACATTATGGGAGTGCAGGTATTTGTCATATGTGATGAGGCCCAATTAGAATATTGCTGCTGGAAATAAAACTTTAGACCTCACAAGTAGGGCACCATAACACCATCAGCTGGTAGCTTTCAGTTACTACCAACCCAGGAGTCAGATTTCAACCAGCAAACGCCCCTGAGGTGATCTATACCTTGAGATGATCAGACAACTAGTTCCCCACCAATCTAGCATTCATTAGTACTGCACAGTAGAATTGTGTCATGTTTTGTGGTTACACAGAACTCTAGGCACAGTCTCTTTGGAGTCAACCGGAGTTTTGCTGAAGTAAGGACCGGAGGATGTAGCCCAGAGTGTTCTATGCAGGAATAGCCCCATTGCTGTACAGTCAAAGACAAGTAGTGTTGAGACTGAAATGTTTAGCATGATACTTTTGTTGTGCTTGCCACAATTCCCTCTCCCCTCCGAGTGCCTCCTTGCAGCTGGGCACAACAATGTTAGGGTAACTGCCACAGCTTCCCCTCTCAGGCTCCTTAAAGATTCCACCAGACAGTCTCTTGTGTCCACTATTACCCCTTCCCAGGGCTAGTTTATTATTCCGCATAACACACATAGTCCTTGGAAGCCTCACAGTTTGTCCCACACAGAATGCATGTAGTCCACGAGAGTGCCAAACCACAGTCCTCATAGCGCAGCTCTGGCATGTTCTGCCACACCCAGGTTTTCTTTTGGTCCCCACCTGTTCTTGATCAGAAAATCCATCCTAGTCGGAGTCCTTCTGCAGCTTCTTCCTGGCTTTCAAGCCATCAGGATAGTCCCTCTGGTGGTCTCCTAGGGTACTGCTACCCTGCAAAAAAAGACCCTGGCTGGCCCAGGTCAGCTGAGTCAGGCTCAAGCTGCGGGGTTATAAAATTGCAGTGTAGACGCTCAGGCTGCAGCCTCAGTTTTGGGACTCTCCCCACTTGTGGGATCTCAGAGACTGGTCTCCATCCCTGAGCCCAAACTCTACACTGCAATTTTATAACCCTGGAGTCCAAACCCGAGTCAGCTGACCTAGGCCAGCTATGGATTTTGTACTGCAGTGCTGACATACCCCAACCCCTTGTCAGCCTCCGAGCTCTGGCCCTCCTTTTCAGTTCTTCACGAACACAGGCCCCAGGGCTGCTTCCCTAGAGCATGGCCCTTGTTCCATTCCGGTAGATGTCCTTCCCCCACTGACCTCCCATCTTCTTCCAGGGACCTTCCCCTTACTCAGGGCAGTCTTTCACTCATTTATTAGCCTCAAGTGCCACACCACTCTCTTAACTGAATCACTATGGGACGTACCTGTGCTGGCCCAGGTATGCTGGATCCACTTTATTTAAAGGGGCCAGCCACCTTGTGACAGTGCTATTTCTTGCCCTTTTAAATTTAATTTATATCAGCCTCCCTCAAATAAATTAACAACTTCATTATATCGTTCTGTACATGATAGTTACAGTTTGTTACAACTTGTTGCATATTAACTGTAGACAAAATAAACAGATGAACAAAAATAGAGGGATATCTAATACACTACTTCCCAAAAGACCAAGGGAAAAATACACGAACAAGACAAAGAAAGATGGTTCACATGAAAAATATTACCTCACCTACCTTGTCTGTATGAACAATCAGCCTCAAGCTCACAATCTACACTGATCTCAGAGTAACAGCCGTGTTAGTCTGTCTTTGCAAAAAGAAAAGGAGTACTTGTGGCACCTTAGAGACTAACCAATTTATTTGAGCATGAGCTTTCGTGAGCTACAGCTCACTTCATCGGATGCATACCCTGGAAACTGCAGTAGACATTATATACACACAGAGACCATGAAACAATACCCGCTCCCACCCCACTGTCCTGCTGGTAATAGCTTATCTAAAGTGATCATCAAGTTGTATGATAATCAAGGTGGGTCATTTCCAGCACAAATCCAGGTTCTCTCACTCCCTCACCCCCCTCCAAAAAACCACACACACAATGAAATGAAATGAAAAGGAAATGGCCCACCTTGATTATCATACACATTGTGAAGAGAGTGGTCACTTTGGATGGGCTATTACCAGCAGGAGAGTGAGTTTGTGTGTGGGGGGGTGGAGGGTGAGAAAACCTGGATTTGTGCTGGAAATGGCCCAACTTGATGATCACTTTAGATAAGCTATTACCAGCAGGAGAGTGGGGTGGGAGCGGGTATTGTTTCATGGTCTCTGTGTGTATATAATGTCTACTGCAGTTTCCAGGGTATGCATCCGATGAAGTGAGCTGTAGCTCACGAAAGCTCATGCTCAAATAAATTGGTTAGTCTCTAAGGTGCCACAAGTACTCCTTTTCAATCTACACTGAGTTGTAGGTACGTAGGCTATATGGACACAGGCAAATCCCATGCTCTGTTGCTCACATTGGACCCCATTCTGCAAGGTGCTGAGCAGCCGGAACTTCTAATGAAGGTTAGAGAAGTTGAGGGTGTTTTATCACCTTCCAGAGAAGCTCACCACTTCATAGGATCAGGCCCATGGTAAGGCTTCAGGTTTTGCTGTGGAGGAACTGCCATGTAAAGTTCCTCCACTGGGGAAAGTGAAGAGGGAGGTGATTCTCCTGAAACAATTACAAGCTTGATTCTGATTTCACTTAAATGGGTGTAGATGGTGAGTAACTCCACTTAAGTCAGTGGGGTTAGACAGGTGTAAGGTTGGTGTCAGTAAGATTTGAAAAGATCTGCTCTAGGAATTATTTTGGGGCAGTTCTATGGCCTGTGTTATACAGGAGGTAAGACTAGAAGATCACAGTGGCCTTGGAATCCATGAATCAGACTCTATGTTTGCAAATTGCAAAATAAAAAGATTTTCTTTCTGTATCCAAGGGTATGAAACATTTTAATATGCAGCTTTATTCCAGCTTAACAGCTATACAATATTGAGCTGACAATTAGATTGATGTCACTTGCATGTTTATGGGGAATCCATTATGTTTCATTTGTTCTGCTTTGTCTCTGGATTGTCTTGTGCACCTCTACAAAGGAGCCAGACTAAATGCCTTTTGTGTTGTCGAAACACTTCAGTATTCCAGACTTCCAGCAAGATGCATTACAAACCTTTTTACCTGGCTGTGTGGTTAGTGATTGTTACCTTTAGCAATCAGCTAACTACACTGCCTGGTAACTAGGCTAATGTACAAGACAGTTCATTTCCAACATCTGATTTTACTAAGAGCAGGTCTTGCCACTGAAATATGGCAGACTCTTGTACTATTAAGTTGAATTGATATTTCTTGATAATTAATTCTTATAAGTTCACCAAAGTGGATAGGGTGACATATGCTAACATGGTGAAGATGTACTTACAGAATAATACAGCATATGATCTCTAAGTATTTTTAGAAGTATCTACATGTTTTTAGTTTGTTAAATAAGAATTGATATATACATGTTCATATCTTTAAGATAATTTTTAAAGTCAAATGAATTGGACTTGAATTCTTTGGCCTATTTTCTTTGCCCTTAGAATGCTTGTTGGTCAAATCTTGGTACATAAAGAATTGAATGTTTGAGGTGTTTTCAAAAAGCCAAATTAAACACAACAGGTGAAATCCTGGGGCCACTGAAGTCAATGAGAGTATTGCCACTGACTTAATGTGGCTAAGATTTTACCTAAATTCTTCAACAATGCATTCTTTGTTGAACAGCTGACATTTCTGAAAATGACGTTGTAAATGAAAGATGTGATGATTTATTCTGCGAGTTAGACATCAGCAGCTTGTAAGATGTGCTGTTCTCTGTGCCGAGGCTGTAGCTGGGAATTCTGTGCCTTGTTTTGATGGCAGTAAAGTTAGTGATTGCAAAGAGATGGATACAATCAGCTAACTACACTGCCTACAAACCAAACACTATTTCTGTGAGGAGAGCACTGCAGCTAAACCTAGAAAAAGACAGAAAGTTTCCAATAATTATTTGATCTCTCATTGAATTTCATTAGATGCTCCTGTCATGCAAACAGTTAACAATGACAACTGAAACACTAGGCCATATTCATCCTTGGTGTAATTCCACAGACTCCAAAGGAGTTACTCTAGAAATAAATTTGCGACAGTAATTCCAACATGAAGTTGACTCACCACAAAGGAGTTAGTGCAAAGACATACTGAATCAGTGAAATACCATAAGTTAAGTGAGGAGAATACACAAAATGGAAATTGGAAACCATAACAACCCGATTGTACAACACTCAGTCATGCTGGTGAGCATGAGATAGTCAGAGATTTTCCTCATGTGAGTAAAGGCACCCACAGAGGGAGAAGGCTGCAAAATTTGGGCCAAAGTGAAGTGTTTGAATGTAAGTAACATCCTATGTGGTTTATGGCAAATGAATACTGAATTTCTGAGACTTACTGAATCAAATTCATCCTTGTTGTGATTCTACTGGAGTCAGTGGCATTACACCAGGGATGAATTTTGCCAAATGTATTAGAATTGTGCCACTTCCTGTTAAAATGTTCTTAGCAGATCATAATTGTAATGACAATACTAATGACAACAGCAATAATAATGGTAGACCCTTACCAGTTCTCAATTTGCTGACCCCCTAAACCTGATAAGCCCCACATAGGTCTCCCCCATTTCTCCAGAATGCTGAAGAAGCAGAGATGGTGCTTGAAGTGGCATTGTGGCCTCAGACTGTTATGACTTTGTTACTATTACAAACTACACTACAGCATATTTCCTAGGAAAGCACAAAGTATCATCCTAAATAATTACACCTAAATTATATTCATCAAATAAATTAACAAACTCTGTGCAAAGTGCATATGGGGTAGTACCTTTGTTCTTTTCACTTGTATTCCTTCATGCTTGTTCATTTCATTTGCTTGCTAATTTGTATGATTATGTCATTTACAATGTCTCCTAATCTTCAATGCAAATTCTATTTTACTAATAATTTATCTGTTCTGCCCAATTAAACACCATCTTTGAAATGATAATAGGCTGTACCTTATGTCTCAGACAAGATGTATACAATTAATAATACAATAAAATATTTTATGCAGGTTTACCTGACTCTTGCTTGTTTTGCAATGAGAGACCAATGGAGTTACCCCATGAATGAATTTGGCCCACAAAAGAGTAATATTTTACAAGCTTTCCTTCATAAATGCCTCAGCCTCAAAGTATTTAAAACAAACTTCAGGATTTGCCTATAAGGAGCTTACCTTGTAATAATCCTGATAGTGAGTATTGCATTTATAACAAAATACTTCCTGGAAACTTCTTCGAAGCAGAAAGAAAAGTGCTGGAAGCATCTGCTTTCTTCATTTTAAACATTTCCCTCCTTTTTTTCAGCCAGTAGCCCAGCCACTTATTCACTCCAAGCATTGATTCTGAACTCTGTTTTAAAGGACGAACATGCAAGCTGGAAATTCTGGGAGTGATCCCAAGGCAGTAGCAGACCATCCCATGTCTCTCCATGAGAATCCTCAGCTAGACTGTCCCCAGCGTTGGTTGTGGGGCAGCCCTAGGCCTGGAACCTTTGTATACACTCTGTCGTCATGGACACAGGTGGGGCTTGTGAACGGAGGATGGGTCACTGCTCTGAAATGGACGGCTTGACTTTATGATGGGAGGCTTTATTGTGCAAGAAGTTTCCATGGATAAAACAAATACGGAACCTAGACTGAACAGAAAGAGATATCACCACTCTCCTTTAATGGAGTGGCTACAGTTCGAGAGTTACAACTGGGACAGTCTGGGCTATGGTATTCAACATGATTCTTAACTCACCATCATTTCTGAGACTAGTTCATAGATTGCTTCTCTCTAAGACTGGTGCTTCCCCAGTGCTTGTCTTCCTACCATCTTGTGAGCCAGCCATGGCTGTGCTCACCCTTTCGCTTTCCCTAGTTTAGTTTTCCATCTTCATGTTAGTTTTTTAAAACAGCTCTGATCTCCAAGTAGAATATGAAAAAAAAGTCTCCTAGGGCATAACAAGAGATATCAGTGGCTGCAAACAGAGTGGGAGAACCTAGGAATTAGATTTGGGATCTCAGTTACCCAGATGAAAATCTAGTGTGATCCCAGCGTGGTAAATGGAGAGGAATGAGTCTTGTTTGGGACCAGAGTGAGTCTTGTGTAAATGAGGATGGGATGGACCTAAGGGGGATCAACCTGATTTTGTTAGATGTGTACAAGGTGCCCATATACTGTGGTAAGAGGCACATTAGAAAGAGATTGACAAATATACGGATGCACAGAGTAAGAGTCTCCCAGGGGGACCTGATTTTATGGCCCTCACCCATCTGCCAAGCAAAAGCACCCAGGATGGTAGTAGCCCCTGGACCCACAGCATCTCCCTGCCCCCATCACCTGGTGGGCCCCTTCCCTCCTCATGCATCCTGTCCTCCCCACAGAGACCTCCCTTAGGCCTTGGCTCCGAGGGATAAGCCAGAAGCCCTGAGGACGCACACAGAGCCTCTCAGATCACTGTGGCATGGCCTAGCTTGCTGCAGAAACAGAAGGCAGCCGGCACTGGGAGCTCAGACAAATGCATTAGACTCCACGACTCACTTTCCCCTGTCTTTACTTGAAGTGTTTTCTCTCCTCCTCTTCCCTCTTGGTCCCAACCCTCTGTCTGGTTCTTTTTTATTGTTGTTGTTGTTTTTCACCCCTGCTGTCTCTGTCCTTGCCCATCACTGGTCCTGTGTACTCCACATTTCCCCTGAGCCTCTCCTGCTCATTTCTCCAGTCTCATCACTGCACTATCCTTCCCCAGCATTTCTTTGGCACCCCTCTGTCCTTGTCTCTCTCCCAGGTCCTGCATCCCACCCTCCTCCCCAGTCCTGTTCTCCCATCCGACCCTGTCTCTCCTGCCCCCATGTGCACCCAGCCTGCTGCTGCTGAGGCACTCAAGAGCAGGAGGCAGGTGGGTAAAGCCAGCATGGGGAAGCATGGCGCAGGCTGCACCCTCTTCGTTCCCCATGGCCTATCCTGCTGCGGGCAAGGCAGCCAGAAGGAGGAGCAGCAAGGAAGGATTTCTAGCTCTGCAGTGCCCCATAGTAGATGGGAGGTGAAATTGCAGCAGAGGCAGTGTGCTTGTAAGTGGAGCTGGGAGGAGAGATGCTTGGCAGGTATGTGTCCACTGGGTAGGCAGACACTGGAGACATTAAAGATAACATTTTCAAAAGTGACTGGTGATAGTGAGTGCCCAACTTGAGATGCTTTAACGGGCCCTGATTTTCAGGAAGTGCTGAGCACCCATCCTCTGAAAATCAAACCCCTTTAAGGTGTCTCAAATTGGGTGGCCAAAATCACTAGTCACTTTTGAAAATCATGGCCTGAAATGAGAATGTGGTGTGAGTGTGTGTGTGTCGGGGGAGGGGGGGAGGGGAATTAATAGGCATAATCACCAAATTATTACAATAGCAGAAAAATTTCTAATGCTAGAGCACGGCATGAAGACTCTGTTTAAAGAAAGCCAACTATCAACTCTATGTTCTGTTCTTTGTTGTTTAATATAGGCTACGCCAAACCAGCATCAACCTCTTTGTCTTTTTGGTTTAAAAGTTTATTTGCATTTTCAGTTTCCAGGGACTGAGGTTCACATTTAAAGACCTAGCAATACATGGTGCATAATGGGTTAAGACCATTCCCATGATGAGCAAATCACAATTCTTCCCTGACCCCTACTTTATAGTGTGAGTTGAATTAATAATATTAGAGGCCGTTCAACATTGCTACATGCCTGCATACAAACCTCATATGATCCCTTCTAACCACGGAAAACACAATGCAACTCACAGATATGGGAATACAAACAGGCCTCAAACCTAAAGGTTTACAGCTAGGGCTATGGTACATTCAGGTTCCCGAGGAGGAAGAACATGTTCTGTGTTTGTTGAACCCATCCTAAGTTAGTGGAATCAGCTCCACTATATCCTGTCTGAAAACTACCTTTATTTCTTGTACTGTATGCTTTCTTACACAACCTGAGCGCTCTTACATAGCAGGAGCCAAAGCCCACTGAAGTCAGTGGGAATCTTTTCATTGACTTCAAAAGGCTTTGGATCAGGCCCATATGGATCAACGTAATTAGCTTGGCTGTATTGCTATATGCATACTGCATAATAAAGTCTACTATTTATGTTAATCTAATCTATCTAAAGCATCTTTAAATGTTTGGTTTATGGCTGCAATTAAAAATAATTTCTGTGTTGCTTCAGGAAGGAATTTTTTGCATTGAGATTGTTGAAAAGATTTAAATGAACGTGGCTTTTGTTAGCATCATATTGCCCAACAATGCCAAAGTTACCCTGCCCTGCAGCATCCTGCTGCTCACAGTTGAAACGGCACCTTGTGAAGGTGACGCTAATACTAACACATTATTGTATCTAGAGGCAGGTCAAGTTCTGTCTGAACAACAGGCTGAAATGCAGCCAGGACAAACAAATGCAAAGTGCCCTCCTCCCACAGGGATAAATTAATCTCTTAACCAGCAAGGATTTTTTCCTCCAGAATGGCTCTTGCTAACTGATTTTATACCAAGATCATTAATTATAGGGCAGATGCCTTACCTGGAGTAGGGATCTCTCGTGCTTTATCAATCACACCTGTATGGGCAGATGCCTCGATAAATAGACATATGAAGTTTTCTTCCAAATAAAAAAGATGTTTTCTTTTGAAAAAATAATTCAGAACAGGCAAAAGGAAGGTTCTTAAAAGTAAGTCACACACAGAGTGTCAGTTCCATATTCGTTAGCAATGGACTCTGTAAAATAATGTAACTGCAAAAATTCTACTGGGGTGGCCCTAACCATCAGTGTGTTTAGGAAAATACTGCTAGCACTTGCTTTGGCCTGCAGTTACTAGAGAAACTGTGACTGACTCTTTCCCCTTTGTAGTTCATGCCTAGGCTTGCCTGGTGATCAGGGAAATCCTAATTTAATCTAACTAAGAATGTTTGTGCTGAGTGAGGGGTCTGATCCAAAGCCCACTGAAGTAAATGGAAAGATTCGCATCGATTTTAATGGGGTCTGGATCAGGCTTTATGTGCCCAGAAAGAGGAATGCAGTATTTTTCTGACAGTGCTTTCAATAAATCATTTTTTTGTAAAGGGACCAAACGTTCCCCCATTTATCTCCTATGACTTGTTAATCAAAATATCTGGCTAGTCATCATTCTGTACTTCTTTGCAAAAGCTGTCAGGATTCTAACAGTTTCTGTTAACATGTAGCTAGAGTGGCTTTTGCTGGCTGGATCTTTCATTTCAAACTTTTCAAACTTTCTCTTTGAAGCTTGGTTTCTTAACTGTTTATTATCCAAATATAGAAAACCAGGGCTGCCTCTCATGTAAGTAGGTCAGTGACAAGTGGTGACAGTATAAATGATTTGAAATCAATGAATCTGCCTAACTTGGAAATGGCAGTTTTCTTTCTCGCTGAAATGGGAAGCCAGCAAGTTGAAAAATTCTAAACTTTTCTGGCTCCCATTCAGTGATATAATTAACAAAAAGAGCTTCTGTATTACCAAGTTGGCGGATGATGTTAGAAGTGTTCAGTCAAAAACATTTAATACCCTTTATCTAAATCAATGATAACCTCAATATTCAATATTTTCAATACTCAAACTCAATATTTTGAGTCATCAGGATGAATATAAAGTTGCCAAGAACTTTACTTAGTTGTCTTTTCTGTTTGCCACATGACCTCTAAAGTGGCCAAGTTTAGCTGAATCAAGGGCCAGACGCTTCCGCCTTGACTCCCAATGAGTAGAAGCTTACTCTGTGAATAGTCCCATTACTATGTGCTCTGTTGGTTTGGTTTCTCAGGTGCAGAGTTTGTTTACAGCTGATTTACAGTTTGCACATTAAATATCAGCACAAATAGCTGAACAAAAGGAGGTGTTGAGGGAACTTAGGCTTCTGTTTCATTGTCCTTTTGTGGAATCCAGGCATTTGATTATTCTGCTTCACTATTTCATAACTCTCAGGGCCTGCCTGGACAAGTCAGAGAAAGTAATAGCCAGGAGACGGTTCAAAGTTCCATTAGCTGATGTGCTTCACCAACTCAAAACGAAACTGTATTTCAATGGGGAAGCTCAAAGAGAGTACCTGAATGATTGTTGAAACCTTACTGGTTTAGGATCAGATCCCGTGTTGAAGCCAATGACAAAACTCCTATTGATGTCAATGTCATAGGGCTGGACCCTGCACTATTGTGCACACTCTATAATTTTAAACGGTAAATATCAGTTTATCTTTAATACTTACCCTAAATTAAAATAGGTTGAAATTTTACAGGGATGACCTAACCTAATTCCTAAACTGTTCTGATGTTACTCCATTTTACTTTGTCTGTGCCTAAATAAGATAAAGGTGTCCATGGGAGGGGCAAATATTTTTTTAATGGCTAGAAGCTAATCCTTGTTAATTGTCACTGTACAGTGGTAAAATGTTATCAGCAAGTGGCAGATTCCTGGCCTGAAGTATTTAGAGTAAAAGGTAGGAATGGGCACTACAGACCAAACCCAGGGCTGTCAGATGACAGTCTGGGATAAGTACTGAATGTGATAATATCAAACTTGCTTCCCCACCTGTCCCTAGCTGTTTTTCTCTGCTACAAGTCTTCCCTGCTCTCTCCCTCCACTTTTGCCCACCCCACCCCTCCACTCTGTCCACAAAGGACATCCCTCTGTTCCATTTTTCATCCTGTTAGCAAAATCAGTGCAATTAAAAGATGCCCTCCATTTGGAACCTTCACTCAACAGATATTTAGAAACAAAGAGAAACTGATGTGGTTGCAACTTTTGTCTGAGGCATTCAGCCCAGAAAGCTTCCCACCAAAATGTTGCCTCTTTAAAGCTGTTTTTAATCTTTAGAACGCAGTTAAGGCTCTGGCATAAAAGTCCAGTGTTTGCCACAGACAGTTGTGCCTAAAGGTGCCCGTTTGTGAGTGTCTTATTCCTTGCCCAGTGCAAATTTTGGTGTGCAATGTGCCATGGGATCAACTGAAAGTGAAATTCCCTACGGGCTCCACAGCAAGGAACTAACAGACTCCTGTCAAGACCTGCGGGGAATTAGGAAAAATCTACATGGTAATACATTTTAATTGTTTCCTGCTGTCAAGCACCATCCTTCAGAAAGCCCTGCACTGAGAGCTATTGCCATTTTATGTTATATGTGAAAGAGAAAGAATGACTCAAGCTTTACCCATATAACAAACAAAATCAATATTTGTCATCATACGTGGCTCTGTGCATTGCAGGGCATTTCCTGGGAATGAAGGCTGTGGATAAAACACTCACCTAGGCTAGAGAAGATGGACAATTTCAATTCCTGGCTTGAAAACTGATTTTCTGAAGAGTCATTTCCCTTCCCTCTGCTTTAGGTTTTGCTATCTATAAAGCAGGGATAATAATACCTAGCTTTTATATAATACTTTTCATGAGTAGATGTTGAAGAGCTTCACAAAGGAGGTGAGTATAATTATCCCCATTTTAAAGATGGAAAAACTGAGGCACAGAGGGGTGAAATGACCTGTCTAAGGTCACCCATGGGCCAGTGGCACAGCCATGAATAGGACATAGGTAATCTGAGTCCCACTCTAGTGCACTAGCTACTAGGCCATACCACACAGCTACTGTGATGTGCTTAGGTGATACGGTAATAGAAGTCATACAAGTATGTAGGCAGGAAAGAAATAGGAAATGGAAAAATGATAAATCAGTGGAGGCTTATCTTCTCCTTTTCATTGCTCTTTATAACAGGAGTTTAAATTGAAAACATTGGTCTTTTAAGTGGTACAAGAAGACACTAGTATAAAACAAGGAGTTATTTGTAGGTGGCAAAAGAAATCCACAAATACAAAGCCATGCATAAAATGCAGGGTTAGGCTCCTGTCCTGCAAAGGCTTGGGAACATGCTTTACTTCACATACCTGACAAACCCCATTGATGTCAATGAGTCCACTCATGTGTGTGAGGTTTAGCAAGTGATTCGATCTTTGCATGATTGGGGCCTTAGATTTCTTCATATTTATGCATTTTTGATTCTAACCTGTTTTTTACCTTAGTCTTTCCTTTCTTGCTGTCAGACAATGGCAATGCCCGTCTTAGAGATAGCAATAGGTCCCAAACAGACAAAGAGAATCAGCTTCTTTCTCTATGTGCCATTAGCTAATTATTATCCAAACTCCTAAACAACAAAGTACTCACCTTTAAGAAAGTGCCTTCTTCTAAACCCTTTAAAAATAATCTCTAGAGCTCTTCTTCATACCAGTGTTTCAAAAGTATCAATTATTATAAGGAATATAAAATATATATACTATTGATAGAAGTAAATAGTATATTATTTTTAATGATAAATGCAGAATAATACAATTTTCAAAGATATATAATGACTAAGTTCAGGGTTACACATGGAAAATAGCTAGTCTGTTTCAATTCTGTGTTTTTGGCAGTTATAGAGAATACCACTAATGATTAATTATTTAATCTGGTATTGCTTCTCTTGATTATGTATATTCCCCACAGATACTAAAATTAATGGGTATTACATAGATAAACATGACTGAGGAAAGTACTGAATTAATCAAATGTGCTTCAGAAAGGAAGCGTCATTGGTGTTGAAAACAGATAAATTGACAGTAGTTTTGAATGTTTGCAGTGTTGTTGTAGTGCCTTTGGTCCCGCGATACGAGAGAAACAAGGTGGATCAGATAATATCTTTTAATGTATTAACTCCTGTTGATGGAAGAGACAAGTTAAGGAGCTGCACAGAGCTCTCTTCTGGCCTGGAAAAAAGCATCCAGAGTGTTACACCCTTGGAAGAAAGCAAGTTGTATTCAGCATAATGGAATACACCTGTTCAGTTGTTAAGCTCTTAACAGCCAGTTGAGTTCTAGTTCTATATACACCTGAAGCAGAAGATTATAGAGTAGAAGATTGCAGCTTGTAAGAGTAGGTGATGACAGTTGGTATGTGTGAGGGTGGCTTCTGTGTATATGGTTTACTAAGGCAACAAACATGTTTTTGTCAAACATATTTTGAATTGTTTATTGTAGTTAAAGTATATCTGAGAGTTTTAAAGTAGCTGGAATTTTATCATTTTTTATTGGACAGGGTCCATTTTAAAGGTAACATTTACTCCTTTATGGTATGGAAAAGGACTGTATCACTACACAGCCTGTGTGGACTGAGGGTTAATGAAGTGATGTAACTCTGTAATATAGGTTGCTGACCCTTGACTCTAACACACCAACAATAACTGTTGGGTGGGAGCACTACCTAGTCTTCTATTTCTCTATATATTCTTATACTGTGCTGAATACTTCAGTGATGAGTAATGTAAGTAGCATCTGTAACTAGGTAACTTCTCTGTAAATAGGAGCAATTTATTAGGTAAGATTAGATAATCTTAATATCAACTCTCCTGTATTCTACACTGTTTATAAGTTGTTAGACCTACAACTGGTACTTGTTAAAGTAATGCTCAGTCTTGGAGTGACAGTCTTTTTCTATTGGGTTGCTCTAAATAAACTGAGAACAGTAGCCTAGCTAAAATCCTTCATTATTAATTTATACAACCAATTATAGTGGTGACAACTTGTGACTCTTATGAGTTTTGATATTTGGTGGGTGTGTTTGGGTTTTTTTTTTTTTTTTTTTTTTGGAAATCCAGCTCCTGGAATTGTAATTGAGACTTTTGCTTTTTTTAAAAACAAATGCATTTAGCTGGCATGATTGCAGAGAAGCTTGAAAAGTCACCTGAGTGCACCCTAAAGGCTTCAAAAATCAAACCCCATCTTCTTAAAATCTCAACCTTTAAAGCAAAATGGTGGCTTGTGGGGAGGATCTGATTCATGAAGGTTGAACACCTGGGGCTGGCAAGAGTGTAACTGACAAGTCTTCCTTAGACTAAGAAGGATGAAGAGGACAGTCATGCTGTTGCTTAATATTTGAGTCTTGTTTGACCAAACACTGTAGTGTGACTTCCTGGTCTCTAGGATGTCTAAGGTCTTTTTTTGGCATTGCTTGTCTAGGCCTTCCACCCTCTGCCCTTATTGAAACTTAATTAGTACCTTAATGCTAGTTAGTTTCTTCAGCATAGTTATCTCTCTCTACAGTGATGGTCTAACAGCTAGTACATCCTCCTGCACTCCGGATTAAAAAAGAAAATGAAAGATGAAATTGCTGCCACAGTCTTTTTCATCACAAGGCTGGTGAAGAAGCAAGACAAACTGAGCAAGCTCAAAACTGAGAAATTTGCAGCTAAGCTGACAACAATACTGTTTGAAAAGTATAAGAACCACTGGTACCTAGACAACCCATCTAGGGGACAAGCCTTCAGGTAACAGACTTGGCCCTGTGCTTTTGGTGCTATGGTAAAAGGGGGAGCAGTGTCTAGCAAGCTGGAATAGACAGAATATAAGGCTCTGGGAACATCCATGTAAAGATGTAGGAACTACTCCAGGAATAATAATACAGGCTGTAGTAAAGCACACAAGGCAAATGCTGAAAAAGCAACGAACTGAACAGGGTTTATGAAGAACTTTTTCTTCCTGTCAAGCTTGATAGGCGGAATGAATGGCCAAGGAATAGAGCAGATGTGGTAATGCAGGCTGGCTGCACGCTTAGGGAAGCTAACGATTTCTTGATAAGAATGCATGCATAACTGAGGGCTTGCTCTTACTGCAGAGTTAACTCAAGTTAATCTCCACTTGAGTGAAAGTGGCTACACTGCAAAATAACAAATGAGCAACAATGGTTGTGTTGGCAACTGATTTGTGCTAACTCAGGCTTTATCTGTGCCCTAAGAGCTATTCAGGCTAATCTGAATTTAAAATACCACCACACTTGACCTAAGGGTTTCGATGTGCGAATAGGATTTGAGTTAACTGCAGTAAACATAAGCCCTGTGGCATAACAGTCTCCCTTATTTATTCTCTCTAGGTGTATACGGATAAACAAACATCAGACAAGAGATCCTGTACTGGAACAAGCTTGTTATGACAGTAATGTGGATTTTGATAACCTTGGCTTGCCAAGAGAGATCACCATATGGGTTGATCCATTTGACGTGTGCTGCAGGTGAGCCCTGAACTCAGGTGACTGTTACACCCTTGCTCTCCTTGTTGTCCACAGCTACACTGCATACAGGGCATTCCAGAGGCCAGGTGTGGACATGATTCTAAAAATGTATTGGCAAAGGAGCATGTGATGATTAGGAGTTGTGGATTTTCTTGCAATCCTATAACTAGTCAAACATGATTAGAAGTTTTCAGGGTAGCAGCCGTGTTAGTCTGTATTCGCAAAAAGAAAAGGAGGACTTGTGGCACCTTAGACTAACAAATTTATTGGAGCATGAGCTTTCGTCAGCTACACACGGAATGCGTCCGATGAAGGGAGCTGTAGCTCACGAAAGCTTATGCTCAAATAAAAGCTTATGCTCACTCTAAGGTGACACAAGTACTCCTCCTTTTCTTTTTATGATTAGAAGGGTGCACTTTGTTCTACTCTAAACTTTCGGGACTGGTGCTGGCTCCAAGCTCTCAAACTAAGGGCTTGTCTACACTGGCACTTTACAACACTATACCTTTCTTGCTCGGGGGTGTTTTTTCACACCCCTCAAGCGCTACAAATTTCAGCGCTGTAAAGCGCCAGTGTAGGCAGTGCACCATTGCTGGGAGCCGTGCCCCATGTGGAGGTGGGTGTGGTTTTGTTTTGTTTGTGTGTGTCTTTTTTTTTTTTTTTTTTTAAGAGCGCTGGGAGAGAACTCTCTGCTGCGACTACACAAGCCATGTTAAAGCGCTGGCATGTCTAAAGGGCTAGTCTAAAACTCTTCACCAACCCCCCTGTAGGAGGAGTCCCTTCAGTCTGGAATACAGCAGAACCTCCTGAATTAATATCTTGCTAAGACACAAACAGGCAACAGTGACTTCTTGCCACTAATGGGAAAGAAGTAATAGGAGAGTACTAAAAGCCTGGGGCTCTGTGGGTCTCTGAGTAAATAGCAGTGGACCTCTACAGTATTAGTGCAAAGCTGTATTATGCAATAAACTGAGCAAAAACTCTTTTCCCCCCCCCCACTCTAGGTATGGTGAGAAGAATCTGCCTTTCACGGTCGTTCACTTTGAAGGTTCTGAGGACGACCGAGAACTCTCTCAACGCATCAGCCATGCTGTTGACAAAGCAACCTCAGATTATCATTCTGGCACCTCCTCAGATGAGGAGGGCTATACCAAGGAAGCTAAAGCTATCCCTACGGTCAGCAACCCAAACAGTGTCTATCAGGTAAGATGCTGATGGTGTGTCCTAACCTTCTTTCCTCCTGTAAAGGAGGAAATAGCTAGTGTCTGGCCTATAATATGATCTACTGGGGAAGACTGACCAAGCTATCCCACTCAAGTTCTTCTGTCAGTACCGCTGTAGGCTGCCTGTACTGCTCTTGATCCTCCTGTCACCCCAAATCAACAAATGTGCATGAATAAGCAGTGACTTTATCTCTACACTAACTGTAATACCTGAGAAGGAACTTGAGGCCAAGCTCAATACAAATCTCTAATCTATTCTTATTCACCCCTTCTTCTCAACTGTTGAGAATAGGCTCCTTCCACTTTAACTGAATTGTCTTGTTAGCACTGGCCCTGCCACTGGGTAAGGCAACTCCCATCTTTTCATGTGCTATAATATATATTGCTTTTTTTTTAACTCCATGCATCTGATGAAGTGGGTTTTAGCCCACAAAAGCTTATGCCCAAATAAATTTTAGTCTAAGGTGCTACAAGGACTCCTCATTGGTTTTGTTCTTAGTTCAGTGACTACTGCAAGCTGCCCATTCAGCCATGGTCTCGGTACCCTCACAAGAAGAGCTACACAACCAATGGACTTCATCAGGCGACTGTTTACTATCCCCAGCACAAGGGCTTCAAATGCTACTGGCCAACAGCTGCTTTTTCTGGACCTCGTATGGATCGATATCATTGGGTGAATACCAACCGATAGAGCAGTGCCTGCCCCGCTCTAACCTGGCTCTTACGGGTCAGTAAAATACTGGACTCTGTGGTAGGAAGCTTGATGTTTCCACAAAAACACGCTTAATTCTGCCTTCTCCTGTCTGTTTTATTTCTCTCTCTCCCTAATTTTATGTACCTGAAATGTAAAGATTTTATTAAACTTTTAATGTATTTTTATATTGCTCTGATAAGAGACACTGAAAACTAGTAATTCTATTTGTAACTTAAAAAGGAAACATGGAGATTAATAAATTTAGTTGTTTTTTTTAAAAATACTGCATTTGTGATTTATCACCAGGTGTGTGAAGGGTGAATGCCAAAAGACTCTTCCCTCCTCTACTGAAAGCTCTTTGAGATCATCCTAAACTGATATTTTCTTAGGATAGAACTCACCAGAAATTTGTAGTTTAGAGATTCAATGACCAATAGACAAGTATATGTGACCTAAACATGCTTTATTGTGGTGGAGATAATGCAGAAGCCTACCTCTCTCCATCACAGCTACAGCCAAAAAAAATCCTGTATTTGATCCTGGAATTCTCCTGCAGCTCCAGATGTCTGGGTGGGTCCTTTTCTTTTCTTGGGCTCAAATATAACCAAAACAAGTCCTGCTTAATTACATAGTATTTCTTATTTGGTGTGTGCAGCAAGGATCAACACGGGCCTTGACTCTCATCTATGCCTATTCTTTCTTTAAAAGTATATATGTAATTGTTTCTGAAACAAAGTTGCTGTTGATTTAATAGCTCCACTTGATCCCTCTGCAGAAGATAGGGAGACTCTATCTTTTGTTGTAAATTGGGCAGTATTTCTATTTAAGTCTTCATAAAGAGCCTACAGAGTTAGTATATTAACAGCAATCTAACAGAGTGCTTCAGGAAACTATCCAAAAAATTAACAATCTCAATCTGGTAGGTGACTTACTTACAGTAGTGCTGGGAATGCAGGAGCAATGCTTCCCATTTACTTCTGTAGTACACCTCAGAGCCTGGACACCTGCCACTTCAGTTCTGACCTGTTTAGGTTTTTTTGTTTTCAAAAACTTGTTTGCATTTTCACAAATGAATACAGTTTATAAATTAGTTTAGTTTGATGTAGGAACTCTAAAAAGGTATATTTTTAATAAAACACTACAATCAAATCACATACTTAAGAATATAGAAGCAATTGGATACAGTTGTGTCAGCTGTTTGACGGTATTAGAGCAGAGACATTCAATGATTCACAACAATTGCAACAGAAACAAATCTTATTCAAATCTATATACAAAATGCTCTTCTGTGTTGCTGATCTCCTGTGTGATGCCATCTGCTCCTTTTCCTTCAGATTCTTGTTTGTATCACAGCAGTGTAAATTAGGGGCTCATCCTGCAAGGAGTTGCGGGAACTTGCACCCAGAAGCTAGGAGCTTAGATACCTTTTTGAGGATCTAGCCTTCAGCTCACACTGAAGTCAATCTAAGTGAGAGGTACTCAGCACCTTTCAGAATTAGAATTTCTATGGGACAGGAAACTGTCTTCCTATAAGTTTAAAGGCTATGGAGAAGTGTGACAGTCTTCTCCAATGTTTATAGTGGTTAGCGCTATATAGTGTTATCAAAATACATTTATTAAGCACCATAACCAGAACTGATGGGGGTTCCGTTCTAAAACCCCACTTGCATTCCTTTGCTAAGTTGACAGTTAACTGAGATTTCACATGCTTTGTGCAATGACAATAACCAAGGTATCTTGACTGTTTTTTATTATTATTAATAGATATTTCAGAAGAAATGAGGGAGTCGATCAGCCTTGGGTCTTGTCACTTTTTAAGCTACTTTACATTCTTTTAAATCCGATTTAATTATGAGTGAGTTTGGGGGAAAAACAACAACAATGAACTGGTCTTGGAATAAACGTTTCTTTTTTTGGTTTGGTGTAAAGCCAAGCTAGAAGTAAGTCACCAATTTTTTTTCTTAATATTACTTAAACACCTCTCTGCCTTCTGCTATTTTCCCTTCTAATATTTCTATTTGCTTTACCAAACAGTCTTTCTCTAAACCAATTATCTCAAACTGACCAAAGAGCAAATCTTCACTGGCTGCATATTTTAAAAGATGATGTTCTTCCTCTATGACTTTCACCAATTCCTCAGTTAATGTATCCAACTTATCTTCCACTTCCGAAAGGCTGAAGTAAGAGCAGCTTTCCTCTTCCGAGCTGAAGCAATAGAAGCAAATGTTTATGACTTAAAATAAGACACAGTAGAAATGCCACAGCTAAAGCAATATCCCTGCTTCTGTCATGAAGAGAGGGACTAGGATGAGGACTATTTGGCAGAAACTTAATCTAGATAAAACAGTGGTGGGAGGATGGAGAGAAACAAAGGAAAAGGTTGACAAGTCACTTTTTGTGACCTAGGCTTGAAATTCAGGGCCCAGAATTGCTGCGGCATGTTCACGCTTGAACTGTAAGTCAGTGGAATTCCACCAGCAGAGAATTTTGGGCTGCTGTTCTTTATTCATCCCATAGCGTCGGAGACTCTCAGACTAGGAAGATCAGCTCCATACCATATGGTGAGGTCAGGACCAAATGAGGGGTCTTGGAATAGACTTGCTTCGTTCCAGAACACAGATTATTTGCATGACACTTATTAAAACATCTAAAAATCATTCTCACCTTATCCTTGCACCAAAGTTGTTCTCTTTCCTGCCTGCTGAGGTGTGGGTGAAACACACTTTCTTCTTTACAGATAGTTTATTCTTCAGCAGGTCCTCAAGATTTGTATGGAGTAAGAGGTTCCTGTTCCTCTTCATGCATCAGACGGTAAGGATACAAAGGGAGGACACGTCAGCATTGGTTTTAAAAGCCCTTTATGGACTCCGTCTGAAATTTATCTTCAAAGACATCACTTTTTACACTGCCCTGGAATATTCTGAATCCTCCCCACCCAAAACATTTTCAGATGAAATGTCAGCTTTTGAGGCAGTCTGAAGAAGACTTGCTACAGAAACAATGATTCTCTCTTCCATAACCCTGCTATCCCTCTACGTCTAACGAAACCTGAGTCATTCTAGTCAATCCCTGTAAGTTTGTCCACTCAGAATGTAACCTGAGATGTTAAGATGCTAAGCAAGCAGATGAATGGAATTTACCATTCCTTTTAAAAAATACTGGGCCAGATCCTTAGCGGTTGTAAATCAGCATAGCTCCAACGACTGCAATTGACCAGCTGAGGATTTCATCCACTGCTTGTTTGAAACACAACAACAACAACAACCCTTCAACCATGTCAAAGATGTTGTGACAGGCCTTATTTACTCCGGTAGAAAACTGGATAAAGGAGATTTTTATATTGTTTTTTCTTTGAGCGAATATTCTTAATGAAAGTCAGCCAGCAAAGGTCATTTGACATGCAAAACAAAAGGAAGCTGCTGGGGTTAGAAGCTTCATATGATTTACAGTGTGTTTACAGTTCAGTTGCATGACCTGAATGCTAAAATGTCACATTTATTCTTTAAATACTGAATGTAGCAGGGGTTTGTCTGCCTTTGGGACACTGTTGCTTGCTTTAGTTCTGAAATTTATGTGACAGTAGCTTTAAATAAACCTATTGTACAGATTGGACAATTGGTTTAGTTCCACTGCTGTTAACCCTAACCCTAAGGATGTCTTAGCAGGCTCAGCACTGAGCAGGCCTCTGACTATATTGATATGTACAGCATTTAAGGTGAAATTCATCTCTGTGCAGAGCCAGAACCGTGCACTATTTAAGTCCCACCTGAGAGCTTAACTGGTGCCTAGAGCCTAGTGCTGGCCCTCTGGGCAAGGCTGATTTTACTGAGCAATGATGTGGGAAATGTGAGTTTAAGATCTGATTTAGAATTCCAGTCTGTGAAGCAGTAAGAAGGTTGGGGACACTGAAACATAGCAGGGTTCATAACCTTTCCGCTTACCTCCTCAGACGCCTCCATCTCCCTGAAGGATTTTACTTTCTCATCAAAAAGCTGAGAGATGAGATTTGATTTCTCCTCAGAGAATGGTTCTCCCTTCAGCAGAATCTCACTTATCTTCACAGAGGATTTACTGTCCCGGAGAACTGCTGACATCCGGAGTCTAAGGGAGAACATTTCACTGAGACAGGCCTTTAGTGCCTAAACATGGAGACAAATTATTTTTAAAAACCTGAATGCATTTGTCCAAGAAATATTTAAAGCTAACATTCATAAAAGTAATAATTAACAAGAAGGGAGAGGAAAAGGAGCATAGATGGACAAGGGGTTAGAACAATAACTTTTGAGCTCTGGAAGTCTAGATTCACATCACAAAAGAAATGAATTTATTTGCTTTAAGTTACTCCTTGGAGGACGTGTGTGGAGATCACAAATGCACCACACAATGTGGGTTAATGTGGCACTCTTAACAGTCTCTCTTCAGGAGACACTCATGATTAGAATATCAGGTCAGGCATGAGCAGGACCAGCGGAGTTGCGTGTAAGGTATTTGCACTGTGCTGGGATCTGGGCAACGCTGCTAGTCCAACCTTTGCATGAGCACCAGGCAGTCCTTTGGGGAATCACATCTCTGTTGTGTGCCCGAGGCAATATCTGGGTTGATAACTGGTATCTCCAAGATCCAATGGCTGGAAATTAAAGCTAGACAAATTCAGACTGGAAATAAGGCTAAATTTTTAACTGAGAGTAAATAACCTTTGGAACTATTACCAAGGATTGTGATGGTTTCTTCATCACTGCCAATTTTTAGATCAAGATTCGATTATTTAAAAAGAAAAAGATGTTCTAGCTCAAACAAAAATTATTTTGGAGAAGTCCTATGGCCTGCGTTATCACAGTGGGCCTGTTTGGCCCTGGATTCTATGAATCTCCAGTGGCCCAAGCTGAATCCCACACACAGAAATCTAGCTAGCGGCTAAATTTTCTGGACCAGGAGTGGCAATATGCAGGTACTATTTTCCAGTGCTACCCCAGCTCAGAACTCTGCATACGTTTCCCCAACCACTTGAGACTTCCTTACACTGAGCAGTAGGTTGCTAGAAATATGGTTGTTCCCAGCGCTATCACCCAATGACAGAAGCATGTTCCAGGTATTTCTGAATCAGTATTCCCAAAAAGAAAAGGAGTACTTGTGGCACCTACACGGCTGTTCCTCTGAATCAGTATTGTTTGTACTGAAGGGATGAGTATACATTCTTTGGAGCTTTCTGCTGGTTTACAATATGGTGCCAGGTAGTTTGAAGCAGTGTTCTTTGGATACTTTTTCAGCATTCTGTTGACAGCATCTCCAGCATGATCATCATATGTTATGTTATTAATGTTCTCCAGGAAACCCGAAGACTTGTTTGCATTGCAGTCAACAGGTAAGCATCTTATCCCACCTCCCTCCTTATTATTCCAAGCAATACCATAAAGTGCCAAAGAGAGCCCTGGTTTTAATAAGGTAAATCTTTTCAAAGAGTTCGTGCCTTAATGTAACTGGATATATAGTGTATCATTATACCTGATAAAACAGTCTCTGAAAGGCGGGGCTGGAGTCTTGGCTGAGGTCAGCAGCAGTGATGTGAGCCAGACAGTGCACCAGCAGCAGAATGAAGCTGCCCACACAACCCAGATACTCTCTTAAAATGAATAATTTGTTCTCTGAAATCTGAGAAGGAAATAAAAATATCCAGAGCAGAGACAACAAGACAGCATTAGAGATCTGAGGTGATGTTTACAGTGGCTGGGCTGCTACTTTCATGGACATCAGACACACTGTTTAGAGTCCACTGGGGATAAACATATGCACAACTGCCAGAAAGTGCAACTATTAAAGGGTTTTATTCAGGAGAGGCTGGTGTGTACCCTGACATTTTTCTCTCATGAGAAACACACTTTCAGATTATTTTAGTGGGTATGAAGACTTCGAGGGAATTTCCTCTTCCCCAACTATACCATGATACAAAACCTCACCTCTTCCCTCAGAATCCCTATATAGAAATAAGTAATAGTTACGGGTCGGATTTTGCCCCCCTTACTCTTAGCACTCTTACTCCACTGAGTTCAATCAAGGCTATTTGCAGAGTAAGGTACCACTCAATGTGAGTAAGGGTGGCAGAATCTGGATTGAAAAGATTTCTTTCGAAAACTGAAACTGATTGTTGTATATATACAATAATTTTACCAGCCCTCTGAAGCTATCAGTATGACCCATCTATGGCACACAGCCCCATGACCACTATCTTAAAGAACTCAATTAGCTTTACATCAAACACTAACTGGGACATATCACTGGCAGATGAGAGGTGGTTCTTTCACAGTGACATTTTTTGTTTCTTAGTTAAGCAATCTTTTCCTAGAAGGAATCAAATGTTCCATGACTTGATAAACATGAAGTGTATTTGCATTTCACTCCCTAATCCACAAATTTAATAGATCTGAAAATATTGAGGATGCTGACAAGGATCTAAACTGACATACCTGATGATAGAAAGAGTTTTGGAAGGCATTGCCTGTGGTGTTACTGAGAGGTATGCTGGAGGCAACACACAGGTTAATTTCTGGAGCCTAAAGGGAAAAATAATTGTTTCTGTAAAAGTTTGTATGCACTTCATATCTTCAAAGTCAGATGGATTAGTGGGATATAAATTAATTTAAATGTCAGCTTTGATTTTCAATAGAAGCAGAGTCAACAAATATTGCATGAAAAGGGAGAGTGTTTAAAATGTCCCCAGCATATCACTGGAGTTCATCTTGCCAATTTTCTGATTAAATAAATCAAAGGGTACTCGAGCCCAGCAGCTCTGTTGGTTAGTGCACCATTATTATTATTTATTTATTGTATTACAGTAGCTTCTAGAAGCCCTAACCAAGATCAGGGCCCCACTGTGCTAGTGTTGTACAAAGGCAGATATAAAGGTATGTCTACACTACAGCGGCACAGCTGCAGCTACACTACTGTTGCTCTGTCATGTAGACACTTAGTCCACTGATGGAAGGGTTTTTTCCATCACTGTAGTAAATTCACCCCCTCAAGAGGCTGTAGCTGCATCTACAGTAGGGCTGATCTAACTAAGCTGCACAATGAAATTTTTCACAGCCCTGAGCTAAGTCAACCTAAGTTTTTGGTGCACAGCAGGCCTAGGAGATCCCCTGTATCAAAGTTTAAAAGCCAAACAGACAAAGGAAGTATTATGCCCATTTTACAGTGGAACTGAAACACAAAGAGATCAAGTGACTTGACCAAGGTCCCACAAAGAGTCTGTTGCAGAGCCACGAATTGAACGCAATCCCCTGAGACCCAGTCCAGTACCGTAGCCATTCTTCCAAGCTACTGTTGCTGAAACACGGCTTTGACTCCTTTGAATCTCTTACTCACTGAGCATTCTCTAGCCATCCTTCACCTACAATGGATGGGTTTCCTGCAGCCCGTTGCTGGGTTTTATTGGTGCTTTTCTACAAATGCATGCTTCCTTCTGAGAATGGAAATATTTTCTTGTAGTATGTTAAACTTACATTGATATGAGGCCTGAGAAACTGGAGAATGGAGATGCCATATTGGTATATTACAAACTCTCTTGCAGAAAGTGTTAGGGGATGAACAGGTATTAGTTCACCTTTATGAGTCATCAAAGCATCCAATATATCCTGAAAAGAACTTCCTGTGTCTGCAGAGAACAACAGCATTTCAACAGACTCACTTATTTTTGTTTTACGCTTGTATTTAGCACCAATGTACATTTTCTTTTACCATGAAATATTGAGGGACAAGAAGAATGTGCAGGTGGAACTTTCTGGGCAAGACTGATTTCATTGCAAACACTTTTAAATTACACACAACCCATTTTCTGGACTATTTATTCAACATTTAGTAATAGAAATGACAAAGACAACAACAAAACACCCTACCAAACAAGACAATTCCACGGCATACTCTTCCCTCCTGGTGAGAGGATGAAAGAAAACAGTATGTGACAGATATTAGTCACATCCTTCAATGCATTACTGGAAGGCACTCAGATGCTGTGGTGATGAGCATGGCGTAAGAACTTATACAGAATAGAATACCCAATTGTCTATTATCTATTTATTACTTTTATTTTATTTAATTCGGGGGCTATTACATTTGCACATTCAGACTCTGCATTATACATTGTGATTATTTAGCCCTAGTCAGTGGAATCTTTCTGTTCCTGTTAGAGAGAAATGAAGTAAGTTGTTTACTTGAAAGAATGAGAGTCATTGTTAAAAGGTACATGATAAGAGCACTTTATGCATGTAACCTGCGTCACAAAGAGAAGATGGCTAGATCTGCAACAATGCCCTCGGATTTACTTAAAACATGACCAGACTTACTCCTGTATTAGAAAAAAGCCCAAGGCTTGTTAAGCACATAATTGGTCAGTGAATGATCTACTACAGGTTTCAGAGTAGCAGCCGTGTTAGTCTGTATCTGCAAAAAGAACAGGAGTACTTGTGGCACCTTACAGACTAACAAATTTATTTGAAAATAAGCTTTCGAGGGTTACAGCCCACTTCATCGGCTGCATAGAATGGAACATATAGTAAGATTATATATATATATATATACACATACAGATAAGTTGGATAACTTCTCCTAATAGCATCGCTGTTCAATAGGAAATAAAGCAACTCTGATGTATCATGCCTTCCATCCAAGGATCTCAAAGTGCAAAAAGCTTTACAACTAGCCAAATTTCATTGGCAAAGGCAGGAACTGACCTCAAACTCTCAGATCCCCCTATATTTACCATTAGTCCATACTTCCACCACAGAATAAACAATAAGTGACATTAGGACATCTGCCCTGCTGAAGATGAGTTAATCCCAAAACATATGAGTAGTGGCCAACTCTAAGCTTACATAGAAAGATATCTCCCAATGTTTTACTGAATTGTGCTAAAAATGTACATTAAAAACAGAAGGGAAGGAAATTTACCTTTTTCCGACAGATGGCTTTCCAGAAGCCCAGTTGCCATCGCATGAGCTTGGAGCTGGTCATTCACATCTTTCAGAAGAGTGAGAAGTGGAGAAGATTTCATATATTTGGCTTTATCATCGTCTACACAAATAAATATAAAAATGTAACTGTGAAAAATAACTGTCTCTTACAGTGTGTGCATGAGGCAAATAAGAAACTCATATCCTGGAATAAAACAATTTACTGGTGCAGTGAAGGTAATATTTTGAGAAACCCATTTAATTGTTTGCCCAAATCTAAGTGCTGGTTACTAAAGAGATTTTAATATAACTTGAAAAGAGAGTTCTCTTCTCTGCAGTGTTTGTTATGAATAAAATGGGTAAAATAAATAGCTCTTATTTTCCACAGCTCCTGCTTGGAGTGCTTAGAAAATACTCCTGGCAATTTTCTGAAGCTTTTTATTAAAGGCACTCTGTTTGTCAATGATACAGTTTGATTGATGAAAAGAGAAAATAAATTTGATTTAAAACATTTTAAATATATTAAAAATGATTTTCTATAAGAGGACCAAATTCTGTTTCCTATCATATTAATGGGAGTTTTGATTAATTAAGGAATTCAAAATTTAGCTTCATGTGTTTATGTAACTGTTGTCTACACCATGGCTACTGTGTGGATATAGGGAAGCATCATACAAAGGTCACAGGATACTTGTTTGATACAAAATGATGTAGCATGGATGGAGTTATATCAAAGGAAGTGACTCTTAGGGGGCTATATTATTCAGATCTACTGACTTAACAGTAGTCTACTGTGTAAAGGACTTACCACACAGAAGAGGTGACCTGAACTGGGGATTCAGGAGAATAATCCTTGATGCCAACAACTGTTCAGTTTGCTTCAGTATCTTGACATCTATGAGGCCAACATACATGTGTTAGTGAAATTCTCAAAAAAGAATTGTAGAGATGCTCATACTCGCTTTACATAATTAGTTCTTCTCTTATTCCATAATCGAGCTATAATTTTTCTATTTATAATCTAGGGTCACTTTATTAGTAACTAGTTTTAAGATGGCCAAAGCTTGATTTGTTCACTGGGTTCTCTCATTTGGGAAGATTAAAGATACAGGAGTGGGTCAGAGTCTATCAAGAGGATGGGGTGTCATATCCTTGAGTGGAGCTCTGATGATTGATGGATCTTGAGCCTCTCCTGGAAAGTACATAAGGTTCCTGACAGGGCTGACATGAGTGCACTGGGGCCAGTTTGGCTGAATGGTACACTCCAAATTCTTATTTGTTAGCTGAATCTGCATATGCTGCTGCACTCAGGGGCCTTTGTGCCTTTCAATTGTTTCCAATCTCTTATCCTATTTACTTATATTCCAGACTGTAGGTGACACAGAGAAAAGGACTTTATATCATCTGGACCATTTATCTGTACTTATGAGATTATGCTAACTCCTATTGCCTGCAATTGATGAATGAATACAAATGACTGGATCTTCCCTAAAGAGGGAACAAGGAGAAGACAGGAAAGACTTAGTGTATTGCCTAGTGGTCCCTGGAACCATAGGCAATTGGTCTTGAATGATTCATTCCCCCGATCCTAATGAATGAACTCTGCTCATTGTTCCAAGGAAGGCGAAACCCTGGTATCCCTCAAGTCCCTGTTGACTTCTTCTATGGCAAGTGCAAAGGGAACCTTTCTAAAATTTGGTGATTCAGTTCAACTCTATGGAGGTGAGTGAACCACACCCTGGTTAAATATTTAATTTATTTGTATCATAGATACTTCTGGCATCCAAGCAACTGTGCCTTCACACACCTAAATCTTAAGTCATGAAGATTCTGCCAGTTATCTCCAAGAGCAGAAAATTGATCACCCCTGGGTAGAAAACCCCATATGTATCTTTCAATCTAAACTCTGTTTAGTTTTTAATTTCCAAGAATTCCCATGTGTTTTCCACTTACTGCCTAGCTGAGAGATTGGCATCTCTTCAGATGATCACATAACATCTTACTCATCCTGTATTGTACTTGTGATCTGCATGTTTATTTCATTACAAAAGCATCAATAACACCCAGAATGCACATTACTTGCAACGAGGAGTTATGGATCAGCTACATTTTCTATTGAAAAATCAGACCTACTCTCTGCCAACAGAGATAGAACCTGGTCTTCTGCCTGGCTGGGTTTCTCTTTGGCCAATAAGGATGTAGCTGCAGATGGTGGAGGGCTGTTTTCTTGCTGCTTCTCTTTTTTCTTCTCTGCCTGCTCTAGCCTTCCTCTCAGTTTCTCCAGGTCTTGGTGAAAACCCGTTTGCAGGAAGACCTCAGTTTCATTGTGTTCTCTAATCATTTTCTAATAAGAATTGTGAGAAAAATGTAAATGTTTGTAAAAGGGTGAGATCTCTGGGAAATACAATCTCATGCTCCGTAAGACTCTCCCATAGGACACTACCCTGGTATAAGGCTTCAGGATCTCTCTAAGTATGTTAGAAACTCCCTCTGTATAGTATGCATCAGTTGCTATAAGACATATTACATCTGCGCCTCAAAACCATCATACTATCACTCTGCATATGGATGAATTTCAGAATCAGTGCATATTTACTTATGGACAATTACCAACTACTGTAATCCACTTATTTTCTGCAACTTTCATTCATCCATACATGGTAATCATAAAATTATCTATCTATGGCATTTCTGGAGCATCCATCATCATCATCATCATTTCTCAGGGATATAGAACTTTTTAAAAACATAAGTATCTAAGAACTCCCTATGGGGGATTTCCACTGGATATGTCATCATACTGCAAAATGCATATTTTGGGACTACAGCATACATCCTTCATCCAGCTCCTCAGCTCTCCATGATCCAGCTGATCCTGCAGATTCCCTCTTTCATCTAATATTTGGCATTGGTGAGATTCTTCCAGCTGCAGCTGCTTTGCTTGGAAAATCTCCCAGATAACGTTCCCTTTAAGTATTTTATCTTCACTTTCAAATGTGGATTTTTTGATCTGCAGGGAAGAACGTTTTTTGTCAAACACCTATGTTTCTTCCTGTAAAAATTTTACCACTGATGACCACAATACTTCTGCTTATTGGCAGTTAAGATAGTTTTCCTCTAGATTTCTTAAACTATGAAATACCTGCCCCCAACCTTAAACTGGAGTTTATAATTCAAGCATTAACTGACTGTATGATGATGTAATGGAGCCACTGTGACATCCAAATCTGTATCATGTTGTTTGGGACAGATACGGGGGGATTCTGAGCTAATTCATTACCATTATGTCATGAGGATGGTTGATAGAGCTCTATTCAAACACATCTGGCTTGGCCCTTTGTTTCTGAGCCAGTTTCCAAAAAGCGTGGCCTCTACACAGGTTGATTGTGTAGGAGGCCTGCCCTTTCCCGAATGTTTTAGGCTATGGGGCAGAACTTAGAAGCACTGTATACAATCAGGGCCAATAAAAGGCAGGGAGTGAGCAAGTGTGAAGCAGCAGCAGCACTAGTTAGAGTGAGAATGGTTGTTACTAGAGATGGGACAACCAATGACAGAAAACCCGTGTGTTTCCCTTCAAGGGAGAATGAGGTGCCAAGGAGCAGCAAGGCCTGAACTTTTCTTCCCACACGTCAATGTCTCTGTTCTCTAGTGGTAGAAGTCAGACCTGTGTACATGGCCAGGACAAGGCACATGCACCACTGAAGTCCTATTCTGAGGGTAGATGTGCAGCTAGTTATTATAAGCATGGCTCACTTCCCAGAGCAGTAAGCGGGGGTATGGAAGAAAGGAGGCAGTAAGCATCATCATGACCCACTGTAGCCTGAGCAGTTGAGGGCTTGCCACAAGTATCTGAACTTCAGCATCACAAGCTTGAAGTCTCTGTTACCAAATGATCAGACTGAATTAAGCCCAAAGGGGACATATAAAAACAACAACATAGTATACAGTATAACCTACATTATATAGGCTGCAGTTGTTGCTTAGGTATCATTACACTCCTGAACATGCATGTGGTGCAATCAATTCAGTTTGAAAAGATACAGAATTTGCTGTTTTTCTACCTGTAGTGGATCAAGATTGCTTGAAGTATTCTCCTTAGTTCTTTTATCGCCCATGAAGATTTTGAGCTGTTCTTTCAGCCCCCTTATTTTCTGCTTTCTGAATTCCTGTAGATCATTGGCTGTGAAGTCAGCTTCATCCACAGGCTGCAGAGTATACATACAGAAAGGCAAAAAAGAGAAAAACAGGAATTTTATTCACAGAAAGAATGTTGTTATTATATAACAGTAACAAAGATAATTGCTTAGCTTCTTTCATCTAGGGATCTCAATGTGCTCTGTTAAAATAAATTAATGCATACTTACAATATCCCTGTAAATTGTCTGCATGTTGTTGTAGCCTTGTTGGTCCCAGGATATTAGAGAGACAAGATGGCTGAGGTAATATTTTTTTATAAGTTGGTCCAACGAAAGATTCACTTCATCTACCTTGTCTCTATAATATTTCTGCAAGATATTATAATGCCATTCTACAGATATATTAAAGGAGGCACAGAGAGGCGGGGTATGGATCAGTGTTCATGTTGTGCTCCCTGTCAGTACCTGGCCTGGGTCAGGGAAGCTAATGATCCAACCACCGGACCAAATTCAGTGATGAATCCTGGTCACGTGCCACTTGAAGCACGCTGCGCATGTGCTAAGAAGAAGAGGCACAGACAGATGAAGCGACTTGCAAGAGACCACGCAGGAACTCAGTGGCAACACTGGGTCTAGAACCTAGGAGCCCCGACCACCCGTTCCTGACTCTAAAACTCAACATAAGCCTCTCAACAGTTTTGGTTATTTGAAGCCCAGTGCAACAAAATTGATACTGATCCATTTAGATTGTTGTTCTCACAAGTTGAAAGTTTTAAACAGAGCCATGGCTCAATATAAAGCTGTACAAAACAGATCTGCACAAACAATTGTGCTCATTTCAAATTATCGCGTGCACTCTATTGTTAAGTGCCAAGATGTTACTAAGAACTTTGCATGGGCTGTTAAGAAAAATGTTGGAAGCAAACAGAACTTGAGAGTGGATATTTTGGTTATCATTAGATAATTTATTTTCAATTTTACCTTGTCCAAAGAGTGGTCTTTCAGGCACTGGGTTATTTCCAAAAACTGTTTCTCTCTCAGTTGTAATAATCTGGCAGCTTGTTTCAGCTCCAGCCCTGAAAGCTTGTATTCTATGTTATCTTTCAATAGATGTATGATGTCCCTCATATCATCATCAACCAATGACCCCTGAAACACAATAGGCCCATGTGTTACATGGATACAGCCACCCACCATTACCTCAAACATTCCACAGCACCCATAACATGGAACATAAGTAAAACACCCTGCTCCTTTTATTGGTCATTTTAGTTTCTAGAAGCCAGCTCACTGAGAACTTACAGAAAGATATAGGAACTGCAGGATCTTCCAAAATTCTATCTAGCACAATAGGAATCAGATAATAATACTTACCACTTATATGGCATCTTCTGTCCATAGATCTCTAAATGTTTAACAAAGGTGAGAAAGCATTATTGTCTCCATTTCATAGATGGGCTAACTGAGAGGCCTGCATTTGCATAAGTGGTTTCTAATTGTGGATACCTCCATTTTTGGGTGTCAACCTTAGAAACCTAGGCTGGGATTTTCAAAGGAGCCTGACGTAAATCTACACATAAATAAATTATTAAGTAAAAATAAAGGAGGTAGGAGCTTAACTCCCATTGAGACTCATTTGACAGTCCCAGCCTTAGGGGCTACTTTTCAGAAGTGTTTAGCATGCACAACTCCAGGTAAAGACAACAGCTGTGATCGCTCAGCACTTCTCAAAATTAGAACTTTCCTAAGTTTACCTGAGAGGCTACTACCTCCTCCACATTCAGGTCTCTCCTGATGACCCCCCAGCTGCCATAGTGCCTATGAGAAGTGTGATGTTCACAGCTTACACACAGAAAAATTAGATACAAACAAACCCTCATGCTGGAAGGTTGCAACGTAACACTACTTTATTTCTTAGAAGTCAGAACATACAAGACCCAAAACCAGAGAGAGACAAAGCAGGCTACTCCCTTAAACAGAGAGGCACAGCTCACACCATCTTATTCTAGGCTATTTGTCTACAAGCTGATTCAGACAATCCAGATCACAAGGCTTCCCTTAAAACTCCCTATCCTGCTGTTAGGATAAAAAAATCCCTCACACTTAAAATGATAGCTTCTTATTTTTCACACAGTTTTCAATACACCTTGGGAAGTCTGTTGATGCCAATGATGAGCTTAATGAGTAATCTGAGACTAGTTTACACATCATATATATATTTGTTAACATAACTGTGTATATGTTGTGCCCCTTCCCGCATCCTCTGTTTGTTTGTTTAGGCTGTGAGCTTAGTGGGATAGGGATCATGTATTCCATTATGTTTGGAAACACCTGCACACTGTTGGGTTTGCCAAATATAAATAACAACAACTAGGGGTAAAATTTTCAAAAGTGCCCATATGATTTAGGAGCCTAAGTCCCACTTTCAAAAGTGATTTAGGCACTTTGGAGCCTACATCACATTTCATTTCTATGGGATTTAGGCTCTCAAATCACTTTTGAAAATGTTACCTCTTAGGCATCTCAAATTGGGTACCCAGAATTAGAAGCCACACTTGAAACTCTGGCCCAAAGTGACTTGCTCATGGGCACAAAGCACGTTAGAGCTGAGAACAGACCGGAGATATCTTGAGTCCCAAACCAACATCATATACAGTGAACCATACTACTTTTCAGAAGATTTCAGGTACAGTTTGGCATGTGTAAATTGTTACAGAAATGACTATATGATATCCCGTAATCTGGAGCCGCACATTTTTATGAAAGGAAACAATCCTTGAAAAAAATCATACAACTCCTAAAACATAAACACATGCAATATAACAACAAAAAAGGGCTTTACATCTATGACAAACTCGCACAGGTTTCTTTCTTCAGTCTGTGTCCAAAAGTCTGCCTTTTGGAATCTGCATCTGTCTTGTAGCACTATTACTGTTTGCCGCAAGTGTCTCTGAGATAGGATAAAATATGCCACATGCTCAATATGATTTGGTAACTCCTGTCTTTCAGCCTCCTGGATCACTTGCATTTCCTTGGCTTGCACCTAGGAAGAAAACATTGCAAACTCTTTAAGACTGGGTTCCCTGTAAATTACTGAGTGCTCTGAAGTATTCAAATTCTGCTGGCAAAAGTTTGAACATAGCAGTCACAGAAAAAAATAAATTAACTGTACTGAAGGACAAGGGAATCTATACAGTTAAAAGCCCTGCAGAATTCACTCTTACTACATATAGAAACCTGATGGAGCTGGATAATCCTTGTTACCATTTTTTTGTGTGGATAATACATGAATCAAATGTTTGCAAACCACAGACAATGTTACATTTGATACAATGGTCAGATACATGTGCTTTCCCATTATTTTAAAGCAGCATAAACAGAGAGAGATTAACAGAGAGATTAACACAATAGCAATTGTACCTTTTCTTCTGTCTGGGTTTGAAGCTCCAGTCTGAACTGTGTCTGCATATTCCTCAGTTCAGTCTCTGACTCTTCCTTTACACCAATAAGTAAGTCCCCTTCTTTGTGGTGCTTCTGGAGAAAAGCCACAGCTCTCTCCACTTGCTGCTTCTCAGTAATCTGGGCCACCTCTTGGGCCACAGATTCTCCTGTAGCTCTATAGTGTAAAGTGTTCAGAATCCTTAACACACCTTTTGGACAGGTCTGTCTCTTAAGAGAGAAAACATAGTGATATGGAAAAATAAATGTTATTTGGCTGCTACATTCGAGATTTTGTTTCCAGCATTGAGTTGTGTAACTCATGAGGCAGAGTACATTATACTGTAACCCCCCTCTGTGGACATGCACATTCTATCCCACGCTTTCTGACTGAAGAGGATCAGGGTGCAGAATATGTTTTGTGAATTTATGTGTGCACAGTAAGCATGCACAGTGGGTAGATGAACTCCTAAATATGGAATAAGCATAGATGTAAATGGCACTACAAAAGGAGGCGGGGAGTAGCTCAAACTTTGCACACGCCTGGCAAATCACGCCCCAGACATGCCTGGCTTTAGAAGGAGGGAAGATGATTTTGTGGTTAAGGCATGGGAATCAGGATTATCTGGGTTAGAACTGAGTTCTGCTAAAGACTATGTGTGGGTCACTTAATTTCTCAGTGCCACCGTTTTCTACCTGTAAAATGGGGATAGATACTTCCTGTCTCTCTTTTCTGTCTTGTTTATTTCAGATAAACTCTCCAAGACAAGGACTATTTTTTACTTTGTGTATACATGGTGGGTAGCACTATGGGGACACAAGGTACTACTGTTTTACAATTACATTATAATGAATAAAAATACTATCACTTTTATCACCAAGTAACTGTCTTAGAATTCTCCCAGGAAATTCCTGCTGCCTCTAACTGGCAACTGGCAACAAGACGTGATTGTCTCGGGTGCAGATATGAACCAGAGACAGGAAGCATACTGAGGAAAATCTGTGTGGAGAGATCTGGGAAGTTGGGGAAAACTTTTAAAGGCACAAATGGCAATTAGGCACCAAGCTCCCAGTGAACAGCAGAGAGCTGGGTACTTAAGTCCTATTTGTAACTTTGAAAATGGCACCTGTTGTGCTTAGCTTGTGCCAACAATGTGGCTGTGAGGTGCAGCGAGCTTTATCCTTTTGTAGCTGAATTCTAGCCGATTCAAGTCTCCTTTATATTTTCGAACTCTGACTGGAAAAGGTCTGAATCTGAATGAGCCTTAGCATGTTCATGTAGCACTTTATATTCTCAAGGTATCGTGCAGACCTTAGCAAATTGGCATTAACTTCCCATGTGAGGATAGCGAAGTGGAGGAATAATCAATGGGATATACCTGAAGTTCATTATAGAGATCCAATACTCTATAGAGACACACTTGTTTCATAACTTCTAGCCTCACTATTTTGACTGCTGAAGCTTGTAATATTTGACTTGCTGAGTCTGTAGCTAGTTCTGCTTCCAAATACTGTGTTTCCTGTTGAGTAAAAGAGACTAAGATGCTGAGAGCTTTCAATGTAAAAAACATAGAAGTTCATTCCACATCCAGATTATCTTGTGGATGGATTTACCTCACTGTACCACCAATACATCAAATACTTTCCACAAATTGTTGTCTGTGACGGGGTTAATTTTTGGATCAGAAATAAAATTACTGTTTGGCAAAACTAAAGGCTGAGAATTTAAATCATGTTTTTCTGACACATGCAGTCAAGACCAGAACCTGCTTTTTTACAGAGAAAAGAACGAACTAGTAAAGTGACAGCTTACT